GAGTGAGACCTGTCATTAACGGCAGCCAGGCGTTGAAAGGCAGGGGGGAGAGGGAGGAGGGGAAGACGAGAGAGAGTTGGGGGATAAGAAGGGGGAGGCGTGGAGGGGGAGTTGGGAAGGCTCAGGGATAGAGAGAGAAAACAGAGGAAGGAAGGAAGGAAGGGGAGAGAGGAGGAGAGAGAGAGAGAGAGAGAGAGAGAGAGAGAGAAGAGAGAGAGAGAGAGAGAGAGAGAGGAGAGAGAGAGAGAGAGAGAGAGAGAGAGAGAGAGAGAGAGAGAGAGAAGAGAGAGATGAGAGAGAGAGAGAGAGAGAGAGACTATCATACCCCTTTTGCCACGTACACTTACTTAATCACATGCAAGATCACATCGCTCTTTATAGGGACACTGAGGAACGCTGCGAATTGCAAATGAGTTGAACTGATTAATGAAAATAAATGAATGAATGAATGAAGGAGGGAAGAAACGGACGAACGGACGAGCGGAAAAGGGGTGGAAAGCTAGGCGAGGGAGAGGTAGCGCGAATGCAATGCAGAGGACGAGGTCGAACCAAATATAGAGAGAGTGGTCGTGAAAGACGAACTGACAAGGTGATGGGAGAGAATTACGGAAAATTTCACTTGCGGATCTCGAAAATGACAAAAAAGGCTTAAGTAGCTAAATCTTAAATCTATAAATATTAAAAACGACACGAAACGTGGTTCTGCACTTTTACATTCACTTACACGCACGTTGTCACTATATTTCTTACCGATTTTCCTCTTTCTACCAATGCAACTTAATCTATATTTTTCATCGTTGGTTATATTTGCTTTTTATCATTGATCTGCAACACTCATATCCCCGCTTCTTCAATCATTATCCTCTCCTTATCATCATTATTCCTCATTATTATCATTATCATCAACATTGCCATCATCACTATCATCATCATTATCATAATCACCATCATCATCATTATTATCATAATGACTATCATCAACATGAACATTATCCTCATCATTTGCCATCCATCACTGTATCATCATAATCATCATATCCTCATTCATCATAATCACTATCATCAACATGGCCATTATCATTATCATCATTATCATTCTCACCATTACCTCTATCCCTACCACTGATAACAACAACCACCACTACAATCACCATCGCACCACACCAGGATGAAAAGATTCGCAAAGGTGCCTCTTTCACCCCCCCCCCCCCAGCCCCACTTCCCTTCCTCCCTCCTCATTTCCTCCTAAGCCTCGCTCCCTAAGGTAAACAGTTTACCTCCTGGAGTTAGGCGGTGCATGAGGCGTCCTCTCCCTCTTTTTTTCCGGCTCAATTTCTAGGTCTGTCTCTCCCCTATCTTTCGTCGTCGCTTTCTCCTCCCCCGCCTTTCTGTCTCTTATACGTTTCGTGTTTCCTTCTTTGTCTATTCTCCCTCCTTCCATCTCTCTCTCTCTTCCTATCTCTGTCCGTGTCCATCTCTTTGTCTCTTCAATTACCTCTCTTCATTGATTCATTCTCTCTCTCTCTCCTCTCTCTCTCGTCTCTTTCTCCTCTCTCTCTCTCTCTCTCTCTCTCTCTTCTCTTCTCTCTCTCTTCTCTCTCTCTCTCTCTCTCTCTCTCTCTCTCTCTCTCTCTCTCTCTCTCTCTTATTTATCAATCTGTCTTATCTACCTGTCTATCAATATGTGCACCGTGTGCGTTTGCATGAGCGTGTGTGTGTATATTGTGTCTGTCTGTTTGCCTATCTACCTTCTTCCAAACCATTTATCCCTTCACCCCCTCCCTCCCCCTCCCCGTCCGTCCTCTCTTCTCTTCTGCACAACGAACGCTTCACTTCCTCTCCCCTTATCGGCGTCCCCTCCTCCTCCCCTTTTATCGGCGTCCCCTCCTCTTCCCCATTTATCGGGGCGTCCCCATCCGCACCCGCATTCCATCGCCCTCGCCCTCTGTAGACCCGAAAGGACCGTTTTGGCCTGAAGATCTCTCTTAATCGAGGCTGTCCAGATGGCCGTTTTTAAGAGTCATATTATTCGATCGCTTTGTTGCCGTGTTCCATTTCCCCCATTCCTTTTCTTTTTTTTGCCTAAACTTGTTTTTCTTGTCTTTCTTTGAATCATCTTCCGTTGCTTCTTTTCTTTAATTTTTTTCTTCTCTTTCACTTCCTTCTCATCCTCCTCCATCTATTCGTCCTTCCTTACAGCCTCCCCATTTTCCTTATCATGCGTATGTTTACCTTCTCTCTCCTCCCTTCCTACTTCCTCTTCCCATCTTCCAATTTCCCCACCTTCTCGTCCTTCGTCCCACGCCACCATCCAAACCCCCTACCCCCGTGCACCCACCCACCCCTCCTTGCACTCCACCCCTCCCCCATATCCCCTCCCCCACCCCCTCACGGAATCTTCCCAGCCCAATCCCATATTAGGACCGGCCTCGTCCGGGTTTCGCTTTTAATTCAGATTCCTTCCATAACGGGACTCACCTGCGCCCGGCCCGAGGACATG